AGGATGTGGGACCTATGGATATATACACACATACATATTTGAAGAGAATACTTTTACTTTGTAAATCATTACACCTTTACAATGCCTTTAAGCCACAACTTATTGGCTTAAATATATTGAAAATATATTACTGAAAATATATAGTCTGCTGTTGGCGTATAAGTAGCCTACATCAATTTACTGTAAAATGAATAACAAACGTATGTTTGTTTAATCAGTTTTCCTTAATTTTTGAATATGTGCTTTTATTTTAGAAAAGCAATATCGGAAAAGTATATGTCCGGCATAACCATATGACTTCCGGTATGTCGGTCTGACTATCAGAATAATAATGTTGCTCACTTTTCACTGTTAAGATTTAGTCTGGATCTTGAGAATATATTTCAAATAAATCTTGGGCTATGAAAAGTATTTTGTAAGTGAAATTCAGGTTTCCATCATGCAAAATATACGTTAGATATATAAGTTGGTTTGGTTTAGATTTGTGAAGATAGTTTTATTCTGAAGGACACGTACTGGTTGTCTTACTGCTGTGTTTGATTTTAATTGACAGTTTAGATAATGGCGTTTGCCAGTTTGCAATGAAATGGATTTTTCTGTCAGTGTAGCGCTTCAAGAAAAGACAGAAGCAAAAGCCAGGGAGTCTTCAGTAGAGTGGTATGTTTATACTTATACCCTGTGGGTCGTATACGTTAGCTTTGTGGGTAACGTTACCCAGTTAGGTAATTGCTAATGTTGGTTTACGTATATACACCTTGGTGTCCCTAACAAGCAAGTCAAACTTGACGTAGTTATCTGTTCGCCTGAAGACCATAATAACAATCAGTATAATGTTGCAAACGAATACTGAAAACCCTTAGTGACAAGGGACATACAGTACTTCCTTGAATGAAACTGCTTGGTGTAATTTTGAGCTTTTTTCTTGGGTAAACATAATTGTGAAAACTGGTTCCTCATCAGGACACTGCAGCTTTGTGCTGTCATGCCAGTCTTGATTTATTCTCCGTCAGTAGTTAACCTCTTATTGTGCAAGCAAGTGCAGAGCCTGGTTTTCTGTTTGTGTCAGTGGTATTCACATCACTTTTTTTATGACTGACATGTGATGTTGTATATGCAGATGTGGGATGAGAAACTATGGTGATTGCTGACAGTCAGTGTAATGAATCAAACTGTCACATGCCTTGAAAAAAAATGCATGCTGTTAGTTGCCTTATCTGTTTGTAGATATTGCCAAGACAAGATTCCAGTTAGATAAACCAGGACTGCTCCTTACTGTGGGCGAGCTGTGGTTTCACACACTGCTGTCAAGTATTAATGATGCAAAGGCCCCCAATCAGTGTTACTGGTGCAGCTTCAATGAGAAAATGACAATGTGTTCCAGTCACACTCCACATCACATGAATCATGGTGATGAGTCATTGTTTAATGGCTTAACTTTTGGTTTTCCTGTGGCAAACCTGTTGATGCATGTGTTTCTATAATAGGATACATTTGGAAAATAGCTGTCAGTATTGTTGGCTGATGTGACTTCTTGCTCTGCAGCATCACAGGATCTCGAGGACATCCTGTCTTTCACAGCTTCAGCCATCCCCCTTTTCACTCAGCTTTACTTTGTGAGTATCCTTTATTCTGTCTGTGAAAATGGACGGCACAGAGTTTGAGCAGCCCAGTCTCAACTCCTATGTTCCAACTGCTCTTGGCGACCATAATGCATTAGAGGATGAAGAGCTCGAGGACCAGAGTTCGTCTGCGTCACTCCTGCCCAAACCTTCCTCAGCGACTGTAGCTGTACGCTACAGTCCAGAAGACACTTACTGTTTAGTATACATCATTTTCTTTCTGATGGGCATCAGCTCCCTGCTCCCCTGGAACTTCTTCATAACAGCCAAACACTACTGGCTCTACAAGCTGAGTAACAGCACTCGTCACAGCAGCAATGAAGAGCAGCGCTCAGACCTCAGTGTGAGTGAGAGGGCTTCTAAATGTAACTGCGCTATATATATTTTGAGGTGATGTTCTTAATTATCTTCACATTTTAATGATTAATTCTGTGAACTCGGCACATTATCTGCACCATATATCCGCTAAAGCAATAAAGCAGTACACTCTTTATGTTGTAATAGTTGAGGATTACAGCAGAGACCGTTTTACACAAGATTGGCTATTTGTAAAAAAAAAAAAAAAAAAAAAAAAAAAAAAATTGACATACCAAACAGCAGGTGTTCATTCAAACAGTCAGGAAAACTGTAAATTTCTCTTTTTGGACAATGTTTCATTTGATTTGATTAGCAAACCACCGCAAAAAGAAGGAAATAAAAAAAACGGTGAGATTTTCCCCTCTCCTTTTCACTTCCTCTTACTTTGTCTTTATGTGAGTGCATCAGTGTGTGTTCAGGCAAGTCTAAATGATATCTTTTCTCTAACTTTTCACAGGACTACTTTGAAAGTTATCTGTCCATTGCCTCCACGGTGCCCTCTGTGCTGTGTCTGATACTCAACTATGTCTTAGTGAACAGGTTAAGTTCCCCTGCACACACAAACAGAGCACACTTGTCTGTGGACTACTTTCTTCTTGAGTCTCTCTGTGTCCAGCATCTAAGTAGTATAGTTTCACATGCTCTGTGTTGTTTTGTCTCTGGCTGTTTGGCTGTTCCAGTGGCACATTTGTCCTGTCTGGGGTCTTAAATGTTGTGCGTCTCTTTACCTTCTCTCTGGATGTTGATCAGTCTGTATTGGCCTGAGATATTATGAAGCAGAGTGTTTTCTCTGCAGCAGGAAACATTTCTGTACTCAGTCAGACCAAACAGTGCAGCACAGAGCAAAAGCTTCATTTGTTGTCTTTATGTTGATCACCAACTGTTTGCTAATCCCCATACATCTGTGCATGTTTTGTTAATAGGGTGTCTTCAAACGTGCGGATCCTGTCGTCTCTCTTTGTTATCCTTCTGGTGTTTGTGGTGACCACGGTGCTGGTGAAGGTGGATGTGTCAGGCTGCAGGATGGAGTTCCTTGTGGGCACGCTGGTCAGTTTGGCTGTCATCAGTGGAGCCTCCAACCTCTTCACTGGCAGCGTGTTAGGAATCAGTGGGCGTTTTCCAATGAGGATCTCTCAGGCCATAATATCAGGTACAGTCTTTCTTCACCCCAGGGATGTCATTTTCATATTAATGAATAAACGCTTGTATTGCTAAAAACACTTTACACCTTTAAAGAGCCTTAACACAATTTGTCTCTTGTCCAGTGCAGAACAGGAAAAGCAGGCATAGAAAATGGATGAACTTATATGGGCTAGAAGTGTAGGATGATGACCGTATGTAGTCATAACATTCCTGGGCGTTGCTACATGTCATCTCCCTCAGTTCCTGCCGCCTTTCTGCTGTACTATCCAATATGTAAATGCAAAAAGGAATTTATAGTTGGATTGAATACATAGAGGTAAATTTGGTGGAACACTTGGCAGCTCAAGTGTCTCTTGTTAAAGAGACATAGCATGCTCATTTCCAGCCATTTAATGTTTAATCTTGGGTACCTCTAAATCTGTTTCCCCTAACCTGAATCTTAACATTATCCTAACCACAACCACTGAGCGGAGCGTTACGTGAAACAGAGTTTTGAAGAGGGGAAACGCATCTCGACGGGAGGAACAAAAAACACTGACAAATAAGCTACATTTTCGACAATACCTCAAATCCTGACATGTTCGAGCCAGCATGATGAACCACAGCAGCATTAATAAATATGAATTTCTCCTGCATAGATAGGTAAACAGTGTATGCATTTGCAAGATGTGTGAAAACCATGTTGCTCCTCCATAGAAGTAGAACTAGAACATACGCACACCTAATTTTTTTGAGCTTTAGGTCATGTCTGAAATGATAATTCACCATTGTAACATTGTATAAGTCAGAAAACAAGGAAAAGCATGCCACGGGCTCTTTAACTGACTGCACAATAAACTGAAGTCCTTTTTTTATTTCAGGCCAGGCTATGGGAGGCACGCTGAGCGCAGTAGCATCAATAGTGGACCTGGCAGCAGCTAAGGATGTGACAGACAGTGCTCTGGTCTATTTCCTGACGGCCGATATCTTCATCCTGCTCTGCATCATTACGTATCTGCTACTTCCCAAGTTGGAATATTCAAGGTCAGTAGCAAAGATATTCTGGTTCCCCTGTAGATACTTATGCTGCCTATCAAACCTGTATTTTGATGTACAAATGCAGGTGATTAGAACACATCCCATTGCCTGAAAAAACAAAACAAAACAAAAAAAGTTTTTTGATGCCTTACCTTCCCAAAATTCAGAAAAAGTCTCAGTGCCCAGAGAGTTTAGATGTCCCAGCTGTTCTAAAGCATGCTGCACTCTCTCTCTAGACACTACATGCTAGAAGCAACATCCAGCAGTCCAGGAGTAATGAGCGAGGGTGGAGGTGTTTCAGGTACCATGAGAAGAGTCTCCGTGCCACCACTGCAGCCCATCCTCAGGAAGACATGGGTGCTTGGCCTGAGTGTCTTCTACGTCTTCTGCATCTCTATCATGGTGTTCCCTGCCGTTTCCTCAGGAATCCAGTCTGTCAACAAAGACAGCGGCAGCCAGTGGACAACCACTTACTTTGTGCCCGTCACCACTTTCCTCATGTACAATGTAGCTGACTTGTGTGGCAGGCTCTCCACAGCCTGGTTACAGGTTCCAGGCCCCAAGAGCAGAGTCCTGCCTGCACTTGTGCTGTGTCGCTCCATCTTAGTCCCACTTCTCATGTACTGTAACTATCAACCGAGGGATCATCTCCACACAGTGCTGTTCACCCATGATGCGTACCCTGTGGTCTTTAACTGCCTGCTAGGCCTCTCTAATGGCTACTTAGGCACTCTACCAATGATCTATGGCCCAAAGGTAGTACATCGGGAGCTGGCAGAGGCCACAGGAGTGGTCATGTCCTTCTTCCTGGCTCTGGGGTTGGCTACAGGATCTGCATTCTCTGTGCTTATCGTGCACTGTATCTGAACGAGCAGTTAAGCAACACCGCTAAACAGTGTTATGGTGGAACTGGACAGTAACATCAGTGCACCCCCTGCAGATGAATACCAGAAGCCACTGGTTTGCTGTGGAAGAAAGTGCAGATAAGCTTCTCACTGCCACTTTTGACCAAAAAGCTCCAACACACCTTCATACCTCACATTATTGTTTATACTGCTGTGCTTCATGGTGTGATCCACAGAGCTATACCCACCGTAACTTGACCCGTACATTTCTGAGAGTGGGTTTTTAAGCACTTACACTCCATAGGGAGTAGTTCAATTAACAGAAGCTTAGATTTTATACATTTAACACTGTAAACATTTTGTACTGATTTAAATTGCGGTGAAAAATTTGGGGGCAGATGCTTTTTTTTTTTTTTAATGAAATATGCAGGTAGCAAAGAGACATCTTAAAAGTCAAACACTTGCAGTGTATAGAACTTTATTGCAAGACCAAGTTATTCTATACATGGCAAGTGTGGCCGGAGTTTTGACCTTTTATTGACAGTTTATTTTTTCCCCCCTCCATCTATGTACATCGGCAGCAGGTGAAGTTGTGCCAGATGTTTGTTCCAAAGAAGCACATCTTATGCAGGAATACACAATGAAACTATGCAAACTCAAACATGCTTAACTGGGGTCTGCTGTCTAAACCATCTACAGTATTGTTCAAAATAATAGCAGTACAATGTGACTAACCAGAATAATCCAGGTTTTTAGTATATTTTTTATTGCTACATGGCAAACAAGTTACCAGTAGGTGCAGTAGATTCTCAGAAAGCAAACAAGACCCAGCATTCATGATATGCACGCTCTTAAGGCTGTGCAATTGGGCAATTAGTTGAAAGGGGTGTGTTCAAAAAAATAGCAGTGTCTGCCGTTGACTGTACAAACACAAAACTATTTTGTACAAACGTTTTTGTTTCTAGGATTTAGCAATCCTGTGAATCACTAAACTAATATTTAGTTGTATGACCACAGTTTTTTATAACTGCTTCACATCTGTGTGGCATGGAGTCAACCAACTTGTGGCACCTTTCAGCTGTTATTACACTCCATGATTCTTTAACAACATTCCACAATTCATTTACATTTCTTGGTTTTGCTTCAGAAACAGCATTTTTGATATCACCCCACAAGTTCTCGATTGGATTAAGGTCCGGGGATTGGGCTGGCCACTCCATAACATTAATTTTGTTGGTTTGGAACCAAGACTTTGCTCGTTTACTAGTGTGTTTGGGGTCATTGTCTTGTTGAAACAACCATTTCAAGGGCATGTCCTCTTCAGCATAAGGCAACATGACCTCTTCAAGTATTTTGACATATGCAAACTGATCCATGATCCCTGGTATGCGATAAATAGGCCCAACACCATAGTAGGAGAAACATGCCCATATCATGATGCTTGCACCACCATGCTTCACTGTCTTCACTGTGTACTGTGGCTTGAATTCAGAGTTTGGGGGGCGTCTCACAAACTGTCTGTGGCCCTTGGACCCAAAAAGAACAATTTTACTCTCATCAGTCCACAAAATGTTCCTCCATTTCTCTTTAGGCCAGTTGATGTGTTCTTTGGCAAATTGTAACCTCTTCTGCACGTGCCTTTTTTTTAACAGAGGGACTTTGCGGGGGATTCTTGAAAATAGATTAGCTTCACACAGACGTCTTCTAACTGTCACAGTACTTACAGGTAACTCCAGACTGTCTTTGATCATCCTGGAGCTGATCATTGGCTGGGCCTTTGCCATTCTGGTTATTCTTCGATCCATTTTGATGGTTGTCTTCCGTTTTCTTCCACGTCTCTCTGGTTTTGCTCTCCATTTTAAGGCATTGGAGATCATTTTAGCTGAACAGCCTATAATTTTTTGCACCTCTTTATAGGTTTTCCCCTCTCCAATCAACTTTTTAATCAAAGTACGCTGTTCTTCTGAACAATGTCTTGAACGACCCATTTTCCTCAGGCTTTCAAATGCATGTTCAACAAGTGCTGGCTTCATCCTTAAATAGGGGCCACCTGATTCACACCTGTTATTTCACAAAATTGATGACCTCACTGATTGAATGCCACACTGCTATTTTTTTGAACACACCCCTTTCAACTAATTGCCCAATTGCACAGCCTTAAGAGCGTGCATATCATGAATGCTGGGTCTTGTTTGCTTTCTGAGAATCTACTGCACCTACTGGTAACTTGTTTGCCATGTAGCAATAAAAAAATATACTAAAAACCTGGATTATTCTGGTTAGTCACATTGTACTGCTATTATTTTGAACAATACTGTAACTGAACTGATCAGGCTTTAAACAGAACATTTCCAATAACTCTTGGACTGATCACAATTTCAGTGTTCACTTGAAAGTGATTACTGTAACCTTGGATTTTTTTTTTTAACAGTATGTCTTGTATGCATTTTAAATAGAGTTTAAAGGGCATTAAGTATTGCATCTTTGCAATTTAGACTATTAACAGCATTACTTCTCAAACTACAAATAAAGTGCTACATTACTGTAGCAATGTTTTGTATTGATATCGAAAAGGTATGGAAGAGGATTTGGGCCACTTGGGGGGAAAACAAATTGACTATTCTCTCAGAATTGACTTTTTTTTTTTTTTTTTTTAAAGTCATCTTTAATCTCAGAAAGTTGTGTATTGTCCAGGGAATTATTTAAAAGACCTAGACATGACTGCTGAGGTTGCACAAATAGCCCTTCTGTAACAAACAAGGGGCCAGAAGGCTTTTCTCAAGCTTGATAAGAATACTGGGCTGGGTTTAGTTTACAGCAAAAGGGGAAAGAAGAAAAAAAAAAAAGTAAACTGAATGGACTGGGATCACTTTAATTGTTAAAAATTTACAGATCAGCTGACATTTGAAGCAGAGACATGATCTTTCTTTACATTAGAGTGCAGACAATAGTTTCACTGACTAATTAACTTCATATTAGTTCCTTAAAATAAGAAACACATTCCATCTATAAAATAGAAATTTGTAAAGCATCACACATACCACTAAAAATAATGCCAGTCATTCCTACTACACTGAGTTTCTGGGGATAAAGGAATCAGATACAGCTAGGGGCTCAGAAGAGCAGACGATTGATACGGTGGCAACATAATGACAGTGAAGCTTTGTGAAATCTGCTCACTGAAGCAGTTAGACTGAGCTGCTGTATCACCCCCCTCAAAAAAAAAAAAAACAGATGTGCAGTCCCTTTCCATCATGACAGTCAAAATAGTTAGTTTAACCCTTGTGATCTCAAATGTACTACTAATTCATAGCAAAAATGTACATGTACAATATATGAATCTTAATTTTTCATATTTCAGTATTTTTTTCTGCCTTTTGTTCCATAAATATCTTAAACTTCAGACTTACTCCAAACTACCATTCAGTCATTCTAAGGATTCTAACCCTTTAAATGCCCGTTTGTGAATTATGAAATATATATTTTCCATATAATAGTAGATGGATGGGGTTTTGGTGGTGAGTAGAGTCTTGGATATGTCAAAGATTAGCAACAAAATTGATTAGATTGAATTAGTATTTTTTTATGTAATGCCAGGTAGTCCCTCTTGACATGTTCGTGGCCAAAAATGCCCCATTGACTTACACTGAAACCACTTTTTCCTCACTGCCATTACAGTATAAAACCATGTATTCTGTAATGTCAGCATTTCATTTTGAAGAATAGTAGTGATGACATTTTTACTCCATTTCACCAGATTCAACACTTTTTCCATTGTAGACTGATGCATGAAATTTGTGTATTTTTGCCATATTATGGAGCCGTGTGACAACCAGGGGGCCCCAAGAGTTTGCGCATGTTTTGAGGGATTGTTCCATGTGTCTTTGAAGAGGTGCCCGAGTAAAAACGTGGCCTCCTGCCTTTGCTGTACTCAAAAACAAAATCAATAACTGTTAGTGTGTATATGCACCTGACTGCCTTCACAGCCAAAGGTAAACAAGCAGCTTGGCTGCGGTGTCATTTCATTAGCAAAGAAGGAGAGCAGACCCCCCTCGGTCTTCAAATGAATCCTGCAGCGTAGCGCGCGCACACGCACACCTCTTGGGGGCCCCCTCGTAAGTCACACGGCTCCATAATATGGCAAAAATACAACAATTTCATGTATCTGCCTACAATGGGAAAAAGGTTGAATCTGGTGAAAATATCAAATATCACTACTTTATTTCAAAATGAAATGCTGACATTACAGAATACATGGTTTTATACTGTAACGGGAGTGAGATAAAAAAAAAAAAAAGTGGTTTCAATGGAAGTCAATGGGGCATTTTTGGCCACGAATGTGTCAAGAGTATCTGGTTTTACATAAAAAAAAAAAAAACTAATGCAATCAAATCAATTTTGTTGCTAATCTTTGACATATCCAAGACCAAACCCCCATGCTCCTACTATTTATTATATGGAAAACAACAAATTTTTGGTGTTTTTTTTTGTAATAAATATTTCATAATTCAAATCAAACTGGTATTTAAAGGGTTAAAATCCTGAGAATGATTGAATGTTTGAGCAAGTCTGAAATTTATGAAAAAAAAAGCAGAAAAAATATTGAAATATCAAAAATAAATATTCATATTGTTATACATGTACATTTTTGCCACAAAATGCATAAAAAAAAAAAGTATAAATGACATTCAAGTCTAAACGACACTGTAGCTATACTTTTGAAATCCAAAGAAACTTTCCTGCCAAAATTCATTCCACAAGCTGTAACACAGCTAAAATGATTGCCAAATCAAAAAAACAAAAACAAAAAAAAAGCCCCAAAAAGGGCATGAAGGTTAAAAACTGAAAATAATTTGAGTCTATTAAAGGAAAACATGACCAAAATTAAGAATAAGAGACAGTTCTACAGTGTTTTTAATTCCCTACAGGTCAGTGTATGGCGATCTTCCTGGCTTTATACCCACACATGGCGTCTGCAGTGAGCCACAGCCTGAAAGACAAATACAAGTGGTTATACACAAAGCCAACTTGTGTACCAGTGTTAGATGAAACAAAACTGTTTAAATATGTAGTGCAGTTAGAAGGAAATGTGCTATTGGGCAGCATTAGTGTCTACAGTTTCTCAATGATTTGTTATTGAAGATAATTCATATTCTCCTATCAGAGTTGGGAGATATCTGGGGATGACATGTTTGGTTCTCAAAAATCCTACACAAGATTACTCACATTGCACCGAGTGGCTGTTTCCATGTTCTTGCACCAGAACGCAGGTCCCCAGCTGCACTGCTCTGTTCCAAGCAGCCGGCGCACAGCTTCAGGGCAGGCTCCCACTTTCTGTTACATATACATACACAGCTCAATTACTAAACTGGGTGGCAGGCCTGCAGTGCAATGCAAATATTAAATTTATTGTCCATTATTAAACAATTTACACACAAAAGAGGTAAATTGACATTAGCTGTAAAATCAGGATTTATTTAGTTGCAGAATAATCTAGTTTACACTTTACCATGCACACAAAGTCTGGATCAAGCATCTGGAGTAACAACTGGACAAGCGCTGGCTCATACTGTTCAACCATCTGGTCACACTGTTGACAAACACAGTGGGTTAATCTAGGGTTGTCACATGAGAATAGATAAAAGTTACTCAAGGTAAGAAGATGCAACTACTCACCTCACTCTGCAGAGAGTCGGGCAGGAAGAGGCACACTTTCCTCACGGCCTCCTCAATCTCAGATGCTGTAGCATTTTTCTCCAGAATTCTTTCTATGTAATTGACAGCCATTTTGCACACCTCACAGAAGCCACCAGCTTTAAAGCGAGTTTGGTCAAGTGCAGCTGCAAAGAATTAGAGCAGAAAATCAGTGTTATTACCCTTTTGAGGAAATACACCATTGGGTTCACAGAGGCAAATAAAACTTAAAGAAAAAAAAAAAACAACCCTCACATCATGAATGTGAATATAGGCAGGTGATATAAAAGCATGGGACAAAAATGAAAGAGATGGTAGCAAAACTTAGCTGTCAGCATTCAACATGGCTTTGAAGAGTCAGGACTTACGGACATATGCGCGTCTGGCATTATTGCAAAGTCCCAACACTGTGCACACAGACTCGGGGTCAGCCTCCTGCACCAGCAGTTCGATGATGGCCTCGCCGTATACCTCAATCAGACTCTTACACTGTTCACTCAGACTGGAGGGCAGAAGTGTGCACACCTTCTCCACAGCTTGAATCACCTGCTCCTGAGATAAAGACATGGGTCAGCTTGACATCAGAGCTCAGTCCAACTGCACCAACTTTGTACAGTTAAATCTTCTCTAGTAGCACATATCCTACCTCTGTTGTCTGATCCTCCAACAGACTCTCCAGCTGTTTCATCACAAACTCACAGATGGCACAACTTGGGTTTTGACGGACACGCACCATGGGCTGGAACACAAAGAGGTAAAGTCTTGTGTCACATTGCGCAATTCTGTATCAACATCAGGTGCTGACAAGTCAGCAGTCAGCTGCCCACCACACCTCACCTTAGCAGACTTGTCAGTAGCAGACTCCACTTTGGTGGCAGGGACAAGTTTGACAGCGGGTACAGCCTTGGCAGTGGGTACCCTCTTGGCAGCCTCCAACTTCAGCATGGGAACAGACTTCTTCATAGCGGCCGCACAGAAGCCGGCGCCAACACAAATATCCTTGGGTTGCTGATGACAGAGACAATTAATAATGAGGACACATGCAAAGGGCTGCAAACCTTGCCAAGCTGCCAACATTCCACAGCATTATCATCCATGCAATGTGCAGAAATTTGTATGATACTATGCAAAAAGATATGAACGCAGTTTTCATTTATGAGATTCACTGTAACACATACACAGACTGGCAAAAAAAAGGGCCTTTTTTGATGAGGATAACCACTTTATATATTAAAAAAAAAAACCCAAAAATAAAAACCAGCACATAAACGTAGCCCTTCCCTGTAGTAACAGCCACTTAAGCGTAAAGCGCCCAACCAAGCAGAGTGTTGAGCTGATGTAGTTCAAGTCATAATTACATCATTTATGTGTACCTCTACAGTGTAAGGTGAATAGTGCTAGTTGAGAGGACAGCACAAAAAGCAAAGACTAAGGGTTAAGAAGCTACTGGCAGAACATAGAGACCTACCTGTTCCTGGGGGGAGCAGCACACAAAACCCAGAGCAGGAGAAAACAAAGCAAGACAACATGAACAGACATGTGTTAGGTAATTTCTTAGTTAGATAGATATTGATTAGAGATCTGTTGTATTAGAAAATGTTAGTATAGCCAGGATGTCTTGCTCAGGCTGTTAAATGCTCAGTTCATTGTCATGAGTTCTGCAGGCTGCATCTATGTATAGAATAAAGCCTATACATGAGAAAAGTAAAGGAGGAGCATGGCTGAAAAAGTCAACAGAAATTAAGAAAATAAAAAGAGAAAGTAAGGAATTGAAGGGTGTAAATACAATTAAGTCAGCAGGCCAGGTGGTGCTTGATATGGGCTTAGCACCACCCAAATGTAAAAATTACCACAGCCATTAGTTGGTGATGACCAGTTCGTTATTGGAACATAATGACATTCATGTTATTTAGGTTTAAATATGCACAAAACTAAAGATTTTCTTGAACTTTGAGTAGGAGGTTAGAAGACTCACCATGGACATGAACTGCTGGAAAATAACGGGACCATACTGGCTAATATACTGTTTACACTGCAATAAAGGGAAAATGTTAATATACAGTATGTTCAGCAAGAAAAAGGTTTATTAATCAAAACTCCTCCAATCTTGTGAGGTTCTCACCATGTCAGACAAGCCTTCTCCAAGCTGGTCACACTGTTCCTCAAAACTTTTAATGAGACTGTCAAAATATGAGGCGTTGGCCTTGGCTTGCGCTTGAAGATCGGTTAGAAACTTGACGCAATCATCGCACACAGTATCAGTTTCCTACAAGGAAGATTTGCAGCCAAATGAAGACAATAATTATCACCAGTAGATGACATGTTGCCGTTTCTGTGGGGGGAGAGTTATGGTGTACCTGCTTTGGAGTCTCCTGTTTGGAGGCTTCCTGCTTGGGCCTCTCCTGGGGATAGAGCAGTCCAGGGACATTGAGGAGGAAAGGAACCATTGGCTGGGAAAGGTCAACCTGAGGGATTTCATTGGACATAAGCTGTTCCGGATCCTGAGCCTTAGCCAGAACCTTAGCCAGAGCTGCCTGCTGAGATGTACACAGCCCAATGGCACCACAAGCCACACCAGGATCCTCCTAACATAAATAAAACAAAACACACACTTTAAAGCAGTTTTCACACATGAACTCTGGACTGCCTGTGGAATCAGGTCTGCCCTTCCACACATGTAGCACACAACAGGAGATAGTCCATGTCAGACGTTCTCACCTGCTGGAAATAATCCGTTTGGTTTATTTGGGGGGTGGGGAATCACATTGTGTCTCCAGTTAGATATTTTTGTTTGTACCTTCATTAAAAATGACAGTTTTTCTTCACTGTCGGACATTTGTTTTCTTTCAGTTTCATGCCGGTCACATGATAGAACATCATCAACACACCCATAAGTGCAGTGTGAATACCCCAGACAATACGCACCAGTTTTCTCACATGGGCTTACTCGGACATTATGCAGACTTTGTACTAGGAAGCTGGCAGAGTAAAGTCCACTTAAGTCTGGGTGGACCGACTCGGACATTGACGTTCTCACACACAGCTCACCCGAGTAAAGTCTAGATAATTTCAGGGTTCCAGGGCATGTCTGAAAAGGGCTTAAGATAGTTTAAGAACTGGGTATTTTATAGTCATATGCTTTATTTTGAAGCTTGTGCATGTTATCTCTAAACAGAATTTAAATATATACCAACTTTAAAACCTGGATAAATCACACAATCAAATAAGCTTAAGAAATTCAACTTGAAGATATAAACCAAAGTCATGTTTTGTTACAAAGCCTATAAAACCAGTCTTTTGTTCTTCCCACAGTTGATGCAGCAGGTGAGAGCTGAAACAAGGAAAGCTCTCCCAGTCATGTGGTTTAGTATTACACAGTGATGGCTCTGTTCCCTTTAGACTTTGACTCATTTCCCCATCAATAGTCATTATTCAGCTGACTGCACTTTGCTCACAGCCACTTCTGCTTTCCCTTTTCTGATGCCGAGGGGCAGATGAACCATTTACTTAAAGAGTCTTAAATGAAGTCAAACGATAAATTGAAATGCAAACTCAACTCCATCAAGATCTTTGGCAAAACTTGTTTACAGCTTAGCTGAAAGCATCTGATATGGTTCCAAATGGTTACCTTGTATTTGCACAATTAAAAAAACACTAACCTGTGATGGCTCTAAACTAATGTTATTACAGCTAGTTGCTGCACTTCCCACTGGCTTTTGATCTCATTTTAAAATTAAAACAGAATAAGATTTGGAAGACAGATTGACTATAATCACCAGTTCTCCGGTAATGATTCCTATGATGATAGGGAAGTAATCATCCACCAACTCCTTGCACTCTGCCGTCATATCTTTATCATGTATGAGCTGGCAAGCTTTCTCCAGGTATCCAAGAACCTCAGACTGCAATCACAGAAATATAACCAGATATTAGTCTTCCAAAGAAGTGACGTAAAGTTGCAGGAGCTCATTTACATACAGTGAATTATTTCTTCTCCTACTTTTACCTCAGTGGCATTGTCCTTCAGTATCTGCGCCACCACAATCGCCACCTCCTTACACAAGTCACATGGCACCGTTTTCTGAAACCAGACAATAATACCACACACATTTCATAGTGAGAAATACTTCCAAGTGTACAAATACATGAAACTTCTATTATTAGGACATTTCAATTCAGAAGAATCCACAAGGGATTGCCATGTTTAGGATAAACAAAAGAAAGCTATATTGAAGGCACTTGTGACTTCTATAAAATAACATGTGGAGTCTCACCATCTGGGGCTTGTTCCACACATTCTGCTGGCAATGAGTCACAGCTCCACACAGAGATGCAGTCTTTACATTCTGACACCAGTAGGGAGGCCCACGAGCACATTGTTCAGTGCCCAGGAGAGGGATGGCCGCCGCTGTCAAGTATGGAGATGTCAAATTTCATACTTGAGACAGACCTTTACTACAGAATTCAGACATATGACAAAACCATATCCTCGGATATGTTATTTCAGCTTAAAAAGGAAAATGTACAAGCAAAAACAGTTTTTCAAATTCAATATTCAGTTCCTACAGCCACTTTCAATTCAATACAGCCAATGCAAAAAAGGGGGGAGGGGTTGTTCTCCATTTTACTGAAGTGGAAAAAGCATAGAAGGACATTTTAACAACTCATCTACACTGTAAATTACATGCAGAAAGCAGTATTTTCTCAGAATGAATTTCCAGCTGAGCTAAATGTATACACTATTGTTTTGCTACATCTTTCGATCTCTGCCTGGTGACCAGTGACAATCAACAGGAGAAATTCAAGTCTGACATACTTCCTCAAAACATTAAGGAACTCACTTTTGGCAAGCTTAACCTTAAAAACAACTGCTAAAAGAAAGGTCAAACTAAACCTTGTCAGCTGATTCTTAAGATGCTGATTAAAATGAACCGGCATAGCCAGGATTTTTTTTTCAGAGTGGCAGCTATGCCGTTCCAGTTTAGGAACTAGTCACTCGGACATTCCAAGAAAAGCACTTATCAGTCACCTGCCTGTTAGTTTTAGATTCAATCATCTGCTGTGTCAGGTGGTCTAGCCTAGCTAAAACAATCAAATCTAATTGTGCTTGCTTTATGAAGCAAACATTAGTCATTGTGGGTAAATACCTTCCAGGGAGAGGAAAAGAAAACAAAAACACACCAAATCCTATCTGGTCAAATTGCCAAGTCACATTAGTATATGTCATTAAAACTGGCATGACTCATCAAAAACCAGCCAGTCAACACTGGTCAGAATGCTACAGACAACGAAGACACACCACAAGGGGAATTTATTATTTACATACAGTTGCAGATGAGGGTAGTCATGTTGTTATGCAGATAAAACTCTTTGACCCAATGCAAAAAAGGTGGGAGGGGTCGTTCTCCATTTTACTGAAGTGAGAAAATGATGCAGCACCATTTCCTCTTTTCTCTATTACTTTCTTATTCAGTGTGTACGTGTGTGTGTGGGGGGGCACATTAACTCCATCTCAGATAGGGGGGGGAGAAAAAAAAAAAACACTTTGGAAATGTTAACATGCTGCCAAGATAAACATGGCTTTAATGGGAAATACAAGCTAATTTAACAGCTTACTGAGAATATTAGCTGCCCAGTAAACACCAGCTACAGGGTTCCAGTGTGGGCAAGTCACTCCCACACCACTAGAGTGACATGAACAGTAAAAACAACCAAGCTGTTCAGACAGACTGTGCTGAGTCATCTGCATTACAGGCCTACATTTGTCTCATGTCCTGCAAGTGTGATTCTGAAACAAAAGCTCATCATAATGTGAGTGAATCAGCATCACATGACACCAAAAGACTGTAAAAAGGATTCCGATTCATTGATAAACGGCAAATGACCAGTGAAACAGTAGGCTACAAAACTGTCTAACCCAAAAACCAAAGATTAGCAGAAAGCAAGTAACATTTGTTAAGCAATGATTATTACTGAGCTTGTGACACACACACACACACACACACAGCAAAGGAATGCCTGCAACAAGCACATACAAGAAGGTAAAGTGAAGCATTACATGAAATCAATTTTAAAAGAAGTCAAACTTGAGCATTAAACACAAAAAGTACAAATGTCAAGATTTACAACCAAATATTGGCAATTAACCATAGATTCTACTCTGATAATAAGTAAACCATGATCATTTCTTATCCATATTTCAACTGCCACAAAACAAAGCCAAAAATATGTACTTTATAAATTCCCTATCTGTCGTAAAGGTATGCCGTTTCATTGACCCAGTAACTTGTTTGTTGGCTTCACTGCCCCAGTGCTGTCTCAACATAAAGATAAGATAGCAAAGTGGCAACCCTGCACATACAGAAAGATAACGCCACAGTTACCTGTACAAAGAAGGAACAAAAACTGAAAACAAAACTTAAAAGTTAGACATGTTACCGAAAATCTGAAATGAAAGACACTGGTTTAATTGGAGAATCGATCTAAACTTCTTCGAGAAACCAAACCAGGCTCAGCTGACCAGGTACATTAACGCTGGTTAGCTAACGGTAGGCTAGTTGGTCAAAGCACATTTCTGTTCACATGACAAAACAAGTTGTACCTACATAAAATCACAGTACAAGTGATCATGAACGTGCCAGTTAGCCAACTGCTCGGGTAACTAACTTGACGATAATGTTACACAAATAAATACTATTGGATTTTCAACGCCCTAACTTTACAGAAAACGTCGTAGTGATGTATTTAACTAGTCAGTCAACTAGCTAGCGCTAGCTGGCGTACTTACGTTAGCCGAGTGGGCTAAAGACAACGCCTTCAAACATCAACCGCCAACGATCAAAATTCAATTAACAATTACAAACTTATGAGAACAACATCTGATTTCTCCTTATAAAAATATCTATAGTACGCCAGCGTCATCGTTATCAGCCCGAATGGTTTACCAAAGCTAACACTACTGGAAACATTTCCGTGTTTTGATATTGAAACGCACTTTAGCAACGCTACTTACACCGCTAGTCGTCATTATGATGTGAAAACTGTCGAAATGTTATCGAATACAGTATGTAAAACACGATAAATACTTTTCTTTGCTTATTGACTTTACCTGAAGACACGAAGAACAGAGTTAAGAACAGCATGACTCCGCTGTTTTTGACTGGAAGGTGAAACAAATCTGAATGTGATGAGCTCCGCAATGCAGACGCAGGAGCTTGTTGATTCTTTTATGATGCTGGTCAGGTGACTCAACCGCTCATGTGACTCTGCCCCAGCCTGCCTGTCTGATGTGATCACTTTGTATCGAAGATCCAGAGGCTTAAACTTAGTTGAAAGACATTTTTTATTGAATCTTTTTATCCAAACACACCTATGTGTAATTAACAATCTTGTGAAACAAGAGATTTTTATGGCTTAACTGTCTACAGCGTTAAGTTGCTGCACAAGGATTTCACTTTGCACAGTCGTAGTTCCAGTGGTGGTTGTATAAGATTTAGTAATTGTCTAAATAAAAAGCAGATGAAAAGGCAAGAGGAAGGACAATTTCCTCCCGTTTAAGTGAAGATGTTAGTATTGCCTTAAGTCCAAGAATGCATGGTGATGTAGAGAAAAGTGAAGGTAAAGAAGATGATGCCCAACCAAAGCCCCTGGGTTCATGCATGATATCCTGATCCAACTCCAAGGAAGCAACTCATTGGGTGTGCAAACCCTGCTTTTTTGTATCCATTATGTCTTAATATAAGTGAAAACAAAACTTGGAGTGAAGGAAGCTATTTTTGTCGAAATAGAACACCCCTCACTAATTAGGGGTGGTGAACTAAGACACAGCTTGTCATCCATCTATAACTCTGTTTTGAGAGCTCTGCATTCCCACCCTAATTCACACCAGGACAATAGGCGTCGGGCCACAGGTGAGGGTTCAAAGACAGGTAACGACGTTCACCGATACCGGGCTATGATGACTCAGTCATAAGTGGACATTGGTGGCCACCAAAAGACTGGAATCACAACATATCAGTCATTAGGGGACATTGTTGGAAATCAAAGGCCTGAAACACCACGGATGGGAATAAATATTTCCGGCTCAACACCAGTTGAACAGAACTGATGAAGCCTCTCAGATGAGGGGTGAAACGTCTTCTATCTAAAACCAAGTCCACTAGATTTTCTACGTTTTTCAGCTTACTATGACCTGGATGACTGAGAATCTGCACGGACATCAGGTGAAGACACCTCAGTGTTAGTTTCTTACAAAAAATTTTTTGGATGTCAGTAATCAAGTCTGGATGGCTACTGTAATAATATTAGGCACATGAATAGGCCTGCTATCTCTGAATTTGAGAATCCCAAACTGGAGGTTTTTGAAATTGACTATTGAGAATTTAACAAAATGAGAAATTCTAACCACAAATTCAAAAAAAATGGTTTTCAAAGTCATATTTCAATGCAATAAATTAAGTAGTATTTAAATTTCAACAAAAATATTTAGTAGTTAAGCTACTGATATAATTAAAATAAAGCTATTTTTTGCAGCCATACCCAAAAGACTATTAGAAATATAAACCACATGTAGGACTGAAATGAAAAGAAGTGAATTTACCATCACATCAATAAACATCATTTAGAATACAGTCTAAAAAGTTTTAACAAGAAGTGAAGAAAAATTTGCAGGTAAGAAAAAGTTTATTAAGACAACATCCAAATGCAGGCCAACAACTATGGAAATGGTCAAAGAAGGAAGCATCACACTGTACATCTTCCTGATATGAGTGGTGAAAACCTGTAAAAACAAAGAAAACATATTTTAGATCCTGACTGATAACGGCTGTTAGACAATGACATCAGTATGTGAGCGTTTGAGAGAGTGCCCTCTGGTGGACACACCAGGTGATACAGTGGCATTGGTTCTATAGCAACATACAGTATCTTTGATTTTCTGCTATTTCTCTTTTATATATATATATATATATATCCACACACACACACACACACACACACACACACACACACACACACACACACACACA